GTTGGGGAGGGGAGACGGGGGGGTTGTATGTATTCCAACTGTGTGAACTGGGAACTGGAGCAGGAAGGGTGACCAGTGAAAACTGTCTCTCTGTCCAGCAGAGTTTTGCTCTGTCTTTCCCACACCCACAGGAATTACACCGCCTCGCTGCTGCCCCCTAGGACACCACACATCTGCTGTGGTCATGACAGCATCCACTCACTGTACGTGTGAGGAATAACACAATCAGGTTACAACGCAACACCTGTTTGCATCGGCAAAAACAGCGCCATCTAAAGGGCGCAATATGAATCACGCATTCATCGTGTGTTCGCACCCATTACCACAGATGAGGCCGGCAACAAGCCGACGGCTACAGGACGACAAAATTAGCTAAAAGATAACCTCAAATTAGCTGATCGTTGCTAAAAGTTAGCATAAAATATCATTTAATTAGCTAACAGCTATACCAGGAAACGTAAAACTTTATGTTAAGGGTACGTAAAGGGGGGGTTGGGAAGGGTTTTACCACGGGCGGAAGAACAACCAATCAAATCCAATCTTACATGTTCTCTGACACAAACACACAAAGAACTTACTAAGAAGTTACCACTGGGAATCAAACTGCTGACATTGTTGCTGTAAGGCGAGCATGCTTACCACTTCTCCACCGTCCGTCTTTATGATTTTTAGTTTTTACTTTTTAAATTTTTTTTTTTCTACATTTAGATTTCCAAACCATCAGTGCCAGTAAATTTACCTCAGTGGAAGTCAACAGACGGAGAAATACAGAACGTTTTCTTTTCAGATAAAATCAAAAACAAAAGCTCTGGCCTGTGACACTTGTTCCGAGCAAAAGAACGCATGGATGAAGAGAGTGAGGAAGAGGAGGAGGAGGAGGAGGAGAAGGAGAGTGGAGCTGATTTGCTGCAGATGCTTCATTCCACTGGGAAATGACATAAGACTGATTGTTGAAATGGTCGTGTTTATTTTGGTGTGTGGGTTAGAGGGGAAAAAAAAAACGAAAAAAAAAAAAAAAAACCTCCAACATAATTAAAACAAGGTCAGAGCTGAAGACTCCGGCAACAGTTTCATATCAACGAGGCAGAATTTACTGCTGAGAAACTCCTGAGCAAAAGAAACTCTTTAGTCTCTTTATTGTCACTGAAAACTTTCATCACACCAGAAATAAATCTTTTTTTTCCCACAATCATAAGCATTGATTTTCAAATTATTTGATGTTTTTTAATATTATGATGATGATGATAGTCACCAATGAAAGATGAAAAAGACAAACCAGTAGAGGCTGGATGAGTCGACGGCAGAGGTGGAGGGAGCATGGACGTCCATCAGAGGAGGATGAAGAACGAGGAGGAGGAGGAGGAGGAGACCAGGGGCCAGTGAGGAGGAAAACAAAAGGAAACAATTCATTTGAACAATTAACCCAAATGAGAAATTAATCAGCAGATAATACATTCTGACCCAAACACAGATGAGGTCCAGCTTTGGCACTAGGTGGCGGCCCACATTTTAGATACCAGATGTGGCCCATTTAATTTTCTAAAAATGTTTCAAAAACTAGTCTTCAAATATAGGGTGTAATAATAATACATGTCAAAAGGACACAATACCATGATGATGATGATGATGAAGGTGACTGCTGGACTTCCTCTCGTCACACAGTGTGGCGTCGACCTCTCAGTTCAGTCACGTGACCGTGGCTTCAGTTCCGATCCTCTTCCTTCTCCTCTGGGAAAACTGGAACCACATCCTGTTTGACGACTTCTGAAATACAAACATCTTTGTTGTCACTTTACAAAGTCAGACATACAGTTGACTCAGAAAAAGAGGACAAGCGGTTGTGACCCAATTCCTAAAATAATTGAAATGAAGGATTCCCCTGCTGGGAAAAACAGTGTACTGCATGATGTCTACACAAAGTTCTCCTGATTCAAAATAGAAAAACTGCAGCAACAAACAAAGAAGTTTTTCCTACATGAGAAAAAAAAGGGTTGAAGGACATTCAATATGGCAAAAAACCTTTGCAAAGTTTGCAAAAATATTAGGGATGTGCGATATTAACTTTTTGCCGATATTGTCCAAACACTTAATTTCTGATTCCGATATCAACCGATAGCGATATATGAAGCCGTTTGGCCCCGAAACTTAAGTAAAACATCTCAGGACCCAACGTAAAATTCAAACAAATTTTGGCAAAAACCCAAGCATTGTGTTATCGGATGTTCATTATCAGAGGAAAAAAAACATAACGATCTTACCGATATTACATAATTATACTGATATCGGGACAATAATATTATTGGACATCCCCCCAAAAAAGTAGCTCACGTCGTACATTTCATATCTGCATTCACCAAAACAAACAAAGAAACCGTTTCCCTCGTCTTCATGGTTTCACTTTTCCTTTGGGTCCGAACTTAGTTTTTCTGGGCTCCTGGTTTTAAAACATGGCTCGTTACATTCATTTATAAATGTTTGTGAGTTGTTTTTTTTTTCCCCCTGTCACATTTCTTAATGATCCGTGTTCTAATTAATATTTTCCTCGTCAGGTCAGCGTTGACTAACGACCAGGCCGAGCTGTCAGCACTTGGCACCTGGATTTGTGAGCCGTAACAGAGTTCCTCCTGTGAGCTCGCTCTGGTTACGGCTCCTCTGCCTCGGGCCCTGCAGTTGTTATTTCAAATCTTTGCTAATTGTCAGAGTTTGGCTGCGTTTCTTTCCTTCACCTTGTGAAAATCCAGTTCGTGCAATTATAGGTGCTTGAGTTTTATTGGCCGGCCATATCAGTGTATCCAGGGCAGGGTTGTGTAAATAGAGTGAAGTCACTTTGGCGGATCGTTTCCACCTTCCTTTTACATGAATAATATTATTGTAAACTATCTGTGACCTAACCTTTTCTGCCGTTACTTCTTCCCTCTCTCCGCTGAACAGAAACACGTGTGTTTGGTTTGGAAAATTGTCGGCCGCCGCTCCAGTAAGTGCCGAATGATAGCGTCACGGTTTCCCTGCTGTGAAAGTGATGGCGGGCGCTTGTAAAGTTGAAATTTTTAGCTTCTGGACATTTGAAAACAATGCTGTTGTTTTCCCTCATGGCGGTTAATTTATTCACTTATTTTTTTTTCTCTCCTCTCTCAGTTGACAATTACACGAACGTTTGTCAGTAATTTGCTGAACTAATGGGTAGTGGATTTTTTTTTTTAGAGTTGGTTCAGTGAGAAGAGAACGCATTAAAACGTGTGCGGTGACGTCGCGCGGTGAAGGCCTGAATTCAAGGACGGACAGGAAACGCCTGCGCAGATGGAAGACTAATGTGGACGGTTCACAGGAAGCGGCCTCCTCTGCAGCTGTGCTGAGGGATACAGAGGTGACATGTAGTAACAGCCCGACAAATGGCCGGCTGCACAGGCTGAGTGTGAGCAGAGGAAGAGCCTGAATTCAAGAATAACATGTAAAAAAAAAAAAAAAAATTCAACATTCAACAGTTACTGCAGCACATTTATAGAAATGACAGACACCACCACACAAATCCATATAAATAATGTGACATCTGCCACCCGTCCTTGGCTCCATCTGCTGTTGGTGACCCCGTGACCCCCAACTCCATACACTATAAAAAATCTTTTTAAGTCTTTCCTTAAAAATGGTTAACATTTGCAGTATACTGAAAAATACTCTCCATTTGATATCATTTTCATTCACAGTCTGATGTCGTTCTATAAAAGATTCGATCGCATTTAGAGGAAAATAGAACAGAAGTTCATTAATCACTGCAGTAGAATTCTAAAAAAAAAAAAAATGCATATAAGAACTGCAGAGTTACATAGGAGCCAGTAGGGGGCGAGAGCGTCTTTAAATATGCTGCAACAGTATTGGTACTTTTGTTTTCCTTTAAATGAGAATATAACTGTTGATTTATAATATTTATAATGTATATACATATATAAATACTTTATACTGTATATCATACAGTATAAATATATCGTTTTTTCGTAGTTTGATCAATTTCCGGTTGCAATCAGTAGTAAATGCTGTGTCTAAGAACCTTCTCTTGTTGTTTCTTTGTTTTTTGTTCAAATTTATTCCACAAAGACTGTGCGAACATACGAACACAGGCAGCCAACGAATAACAATGGAACAAATGGTGCATTTTAAAGAGTTACGCCCAAACTAAAACCCAGGAGGGGTCGCAGTTGAGTCTAACAGGTGGTGAAATTAGCTGGAGGGCAGCCGCAGTCACTGACTGGATTACCATCAAATTACTGACACGTTAATGCAGGAGATGAATCCTAATGACCTCACGGTGAGTCTCTGGCTGCCTCTGTAGCGCCATCCGCAGATCAGAAGCGTTACTAATATCAATATCCCGTTAATGGATAAATAATCGTAAAATAATCCCCTTCACCAAATCTACGTCGACAAATAAATAACTGTCTCTCTCCAATAAATCAATTATAGTTAATGATTTAATCAACTCTCAGATTAAGAAAAAGTTTAAAAAAATTAAAATATTTATTAGGCTCAAAGTACACGACAAAACCCGCTAGTTAATGCTAGCTTGTTTAAGCAAGAAATGTGTCATTTTAAAACAACAAAAAAAGGGAGAATGTCTACTCACAGTCACTAGAGGTGTACGGTGTTGGAGTTCATCTGGATCCACGTCGCCCTCTGTCTGTAGTTTCTCTTTCCATCCTCTGTTGACTGGACGTCTCTTGCGGGAAAAGGTCTTGCGATGAAAAACTGACCCATTAGGTGGCAGCAGAGCAGCACAGGGAATCTCTTTTTAAACGCACAGAAGAAGAAAAAAAAAATGTTAGGACAAATAATTTAAAGTAAATCTTTTCATAAAAGAATAATTCATGTATATTCTCAGATATTATTTACTGCAGTACAGTTACATATTTATGGGTTTTACAGTATAAAGAAATATTTCTATTTAAAAAAATTAGCACAAAAAGGTGAAGCAGAAAAATCAAACTTCCTAAAAAAAACTTCCAACCCTTGATTTTAACGTGAAAAGTCAACGATGGCGCTCCAGTGGAGCGTGTGAACTCGGGTTCTGAACACGGAAAAAAAATTGTGACAAATGATTGTGTCAAACCTGTGAGC